CGAAATAAACCGCACCGAAAAAATTATCGAAATAGAGAATGTTAAAAGGCGAGTTTTGGCCGATATTGAAAAGAAAAGGCATCAAAAAAAAACTAATCGAACCTCTATTAACAATGAAAATAATAATAAATTTCCTGTGAATTGAATTATCGGGGGAGTAGTGATAATAGTGATAGCATTTTTGGGAGGGTTAATTTTATACGAGAAAAAAAAAAAAAAAATAATAATTTATAGTTATCTCACTTTCTAGAATGTTTTAAAGGATACTTTTTTGAGTTGGTTGAAGGGAACGAATGTAAAAAAGGTTAATGAAGAATTAGTAAAATAGCAAAATTTATAATATAATGCTTAAAAAATGTAGATATGACAAATACAACAATAAAAAAAAATAATATCTCAATAACTATCAAACTTAAATTACCCGAGGGATTAGAAAAACAACTTACTTATTTAGAAGTGGTTAGTAAAAGGTCAAAGGAATTTATTATCAAAGAAGCTTTAGTCCAATATTTAGAGAATGCTGAGGATGTAGCAAAGATTTATGAAAGAGAGAGGGAAAAAGGAAACAAAAAATACACTACAAAGGAATTATTAGAAGAATTGAACCTAAAAGAAATTAGTAGGTAGTCAGGAAATAGGTGTATAAGGTAGAATGGAGCGAAAGGGCACGAAAAAATTTAAATAAACTTGACCAAATAGCAAAGAAAAAGTTTATTTATAAAGTAGAAAATTATTTAGCCGAAGACCCGCATGGTCGAGGAAAACCTTTAAAGGGTAATCTAAAAGGTCAACATAGATATCGTTTTAGTGAATATCGAGTTATTTACAAAATATTTCAGACCAAAGTTATAATTGAAATATTAGAGGTAGATAATCGGAGTAATATTTATGACTAATATTAATTAATAAATTACTATATATTATGACTGATACTAAATGTTACTATTCCATGTTGCGTTCCTCAATAACATGGTTAGAAAAATATATCGAAATAGCCAAATATTATCCGGACTGAAAACAGCGAAAACAAACGGATGATTCTTTTATATTATGAGTAAACAGCCAGACCCCAAAAAGTAAAGTTTTAAGTAATTTGTCAACTAGTTTAATGCTTGGTTTTGAAGGAAGTTTGGAAGAAGAACCAGCAGAATTTCGCGAGGAATTAAAACAAGAATTTTACAAGTGGTTAGATACCAGCAAAATTAATGCCAATGCCCCCGTGGAACTAAAATGTGCTTTGTTTGACTTTCATGAAATATTGGAATGTCGCTTCGAAAAAGCCCAAAAAGATCGAACCAACCGAAAAAGAGAATATAAAATTGGTTCTCCGGAATACAATAAAAAAATGCAAGCGGTTTTTCAAAAATCTCAGGAAGCAATCCAAAGCGGAAAAGTTAATGAAATGGATGATAGTCCTTTTAATGGCGACCCCCAAGCAGGAAAAACTACTTTTGAAACTATTGCTAATTCGCTTTCGGATCCGGAACGAGACAATTTTCACTTTTGACCGCAAATGACCACTGCGGAAAGATCCGAGCAAGACCGCCAGAACGAGGAACAAGATAACCAAACTGACCCCATTCTCCACAATTGCCGAACTAGTGCCATTGCTGCAATAAATGCCGTGCTCCAAGAAAGTAAACTAAACAATACTGATTTAAGTCCCCAATATCAAAATTGAGAAGAGAAAATAAACCAAACTGAGGATATTATTGAAATTGTTAATATTCAAAATTTAGTATTAGCCGAGATCAAAAAAAAAAAAAAAAAAAACAATTCTACTGTCGCTCCCACAAAAGCCCTTGCAGCAGTTTTGACCACTGGAATAATAATAATTATTTTGAGTTTAATAATTGTTCTAATTTACTACCACTGAAAGAAAAATGGAAAAAGAAAATAATTATTTATTCAAGAGCCACGTTATTAACTTAAAATAAGCAAAAATTAAAATATGAGTAACGAGAAGCAAAATTTTCTCCTTTATCAATTAAGTCCCTTAAGAAAATTAGAGGAAGTAAATTTGAAAGAGCGAGGAAAAAAAGAGAAATATATTGAAGATATTTTTGTAAAAAATTTAGAAAATTTTTTCCCCAATCTAGTTTTCTTAAAATCGCAGTGTTATTTAAAGCATCCAACAGAAGAAAGAGACTGTATAATCGACACACTAGCATTTAATAAAAGTAACAATAGTTTTTTAATTATTGAGTATAAAAGAGAAAAAACAGTCGAATTGTTTTATCAAGTTCGTGAATATATGGAATGTTTGGAAGAAGGTAATAATCGGATTTTTTTTCGCAATCGGAACGAACTATTAAGACTTTTAGACAGCAACGATTTAACAAAAATGAATAATTATTGAAAGGAAGAGGAAGTTAATTGAGAAGAAACAAAAGGGCTTTGTATCGTTAACGAAATTTATGGAAGGTTTCCGCAAAGCGAGATGCGAAATGAAAAAATTAGACTAGTAAAAATAACTTTCTATGACAATGAAATTTTATATATTGATATTGAAGCAATAGCTGGGTGATTAAAAATCTCTTCAAAAAAAATAATTAAAAAAGATGAAAGCAAAAATTTCACAAACGGAACATATTCAACAAAAAAGGAAGAAAATAAAATAACTGATTCTGTTTGCTTAAAAGACAACATCATTAATTTAGAAAAATTTAGTCCATGAGTAAAGAAATGGATGCGTGATATTGATAATCTCTATAATTCCGTTCTCGAACTAGAATCTAAAACTAGACTTGGAAATTTCAACGGCAATAATAAATACTGTGCTTTTAGTTATAGACTTCGTTACCAAATTCAAAAAATTTCCTTATTAAGTTCTATTGCTGTTTATCTAACCCAAATTAACGTTTATTGGAACTTTAAAAAACCCGCAGAAATTTCGACCAATTTGTCCAATTTGTTGAATAAGTATGAAGTAAAATACAAAGGCCTTAACCATGTTTTGAGGGGAAATTGACATTTTCCGATAATTAATAGTGATAACAATTTTCAGAAATTAAAAAGTTTTATTCATGAGTATAAAGTTTACTGCGGGGATGAGTTAAAACTAGATTAAAAATTTTATGAAAAATAATTGAGAAAAAACAAATTCTTTGCTTTCAGAGAACCAAAAACCTTTAAAAGCCTTAATTTTTGACTTGCTTTATAATCGCTACTATGGAGTTATCATTTATGTCCGTATTTTTGAAGGAGAATTGACCAAAGGACAAAAAATTAAGTTTTATACTAATCAGCAAAAAGTATATCAAGCCGAAAGGGTGGGAGTAAAAATACCCAAAGAAATTTTAAAAAATAAATTAGTGGCGGGAGAAATTGGTTGATTTACCGCTAATATTCGGGACATGCAAGAAGTAAAAGTTGGTGATACAGTTTTTGAAATAGACCACCATATCTCACCCTTAGCAGGCTATCAAGAAATAAAACCGAATGTCTATTCTAATTTATATCCTAGTGAAAGTTCTCAATTCAAAGAATTTAAAAAATATTTGGAAGAACTGCAAGTCCAAGACAGTAGTTTAAGTTTAGAGTCAGTTGACTCTCAATTGCTTGGTTCAGGTTTCCGTTGTGGCTTTTTAGGGTTATTGCATCGAGAAATTATTTGCGAAAGACTGCAAAAAGAATATAATTGTGAAATTATTACTACTCCCCCCAGTATTACTTATCGAGTAGTTTTCAATAATGGTGAAATTTTAGAAACTAGCAATCCCCAGAAGATATCGGCCAAAGGCAAGATAAAGAGCATTGAAGAGTTATTGGTCAATTTAGAAATTACCACCCCTGAAGAACATTTAGGAGATATTTTGCAAATTTGCCAAAATAAGCGAGGCATTTGTCAATCGCAAGCATGAAAAACTGGTTATCTTTATCAATTAAATTATCACCTACCTTTTGCCGAACTTGTGCTGGATTTTCATGATAAAATAAAGTCCATTTCCCACGGATATGCTTCTTTTAATTACCAAATAATCGGTTTTCAACCCAGCGAAATTGTTAAAGTAGATATTTTGCTGAACAATCAATTAATTCCCGACTTGTCTTTTTTAGTACATCGTGATGCTGCTTATGACCGGGCTAAAGTAATTTGCGAAAACTTAAAAAAAACTCTCAATCGGCAAACTTTTGCCGTGCCAGTTCAGGCTTGTATCGGTAATCAAGTAATTGCTCGGGAGACTTTACCGGCTTTGAAAAAAAATGTAATCTCTAGAATTCATGGGGGGGGTTCCATAGACCGCAAAATGAAACTCTGAGCCAAACAAAAAAAAGGCAAAGCCCGTATGAAAGAACTCGGAAAAGTTAATTTTGGAACCAGTAATTTAAGAGAGCTATTGAAAGGCAACAAGTAGAAAAAAGAGCAACGAGTCTTAAAATGAATACTTTAAAATTACTTAAAGGTTTTGTTGAAATCAAAGAAATTACAAGAACTAATAATAGAGAAGTAACAATTCAATCTTACTATTTTCGGTTCTCTTCTCTATTTTTTTGTATAAGTAAATTCTACATATAGATCTACAATATAAAATTATAATATAGATAAAAATGAATGGTAGTCAGAGTAAAATTCTCTGATTAGTAAGGACTTGAAGAAAAAACTTCTGTTTAAGTTAAAATAAAGAATATAGGCAGTAAATTCGATAAATGTTAAGAACCATTCTAATTATTTTTAACCTCATATAATCAAATAAATAAATATGCGTAGAGAAAGTAGAAACTGAAAATTAGTTAAAGATAAAAGTTTGTTTGAATTTGCAGAAGATAGTGAATATTTATTTACCAAAACTACCCTTGTATCTGTGAGGTGTGAAGATTGCAGCAATACTATTTCTGCCAAAGAAAAATGACAAGCTTTTCTGAAAACTGGCTCTATTAACGAGGGATTTGGTAAAGGTTATAACTTCAGAACAACAGTAGAGTTCTATTGTCAAAAATGTTCTGAATAAAGTGACATTTAAATGAACAATCTTCAAGAAAAAATAAGTATTAAACCACTTATTCGTGCTCGGAATTTTCTTGCTGATATTGTTCAAGATGCTCAAAGTAATTACGAAAAGGCAGGAGTTGTCAAAGCTTTTGAAGTTTGTTTCGAATTAATTCATCCTGTTTTGAGAAAGGTATTAAAATTGCGAGGTATTATAGTTTCAGCCGCCGTTAAGGAAGTTTTTAGAACAGCAGGTTCAGAGAACTTAATTAATAATGTAGAAACTTGACTTGAATTTAAAGATAAAAGAGATGATACTGCTCATTCTTATGATGGTCGGATAGCTACTGATGTAATTGATATCTTACCCAATTTTATTCATGAACTAGACCTGTTAATAGAAGAATTGATAGAAATTCCCGAAATACAATCCTAGTAAGATCGTGATGCAAATAGAGAAAAAACATTTAGAAATAATTCTACAAATACTTCGCAAATATCCTTATTCTTTTTATGCTTATGGCTCTCGAGCAAAGGGAACCGCTCACCAATTTTCTGACTTAGACTTGTGTTATCAAGAAAATATTCCTATTTCGATTACTAGAAAAATCAAGGAGGAATTTCAGGAATCAAATCTTCCTTTTCGTGTAGAGATAGTTAACTGATATCGCATGAGTCTAGAATTTCAAGACTTAATTAAAAAAGATTTGATTAAAATTACTATAATATAAAAAAAATAAATCTGCGAGTATAGTTCAGTGGTAGAATTTTAGACTGCCAGTCTAATTACACGGGTTCGATTCCCGTTACTCGCTCCATGGCGGATGTTGCATAATGGTAGTGCCCTAGTTTGTGGTGCTAGAGGTGCGAGTTCAATTCTCGCCGTTCGCCCCATTGAAAAACGTGGGGTTCTTTAATTTTGTTTTCTCCCCTTAAAAGAAAAGTGTTTTCATAATTGAGTTCGGCGGTGTGTTTATTTCTAGTCATACTTGTATTTGACTAGTTTTTTTGCCGCCGAACAACATTAATGCTACTAGTAATGACACACAAAGATAAGAAAAAAAGAATTAAAAAATAGATAACTCTCTTTATGAATAAGGAAAAAGAAATTATTGAACGGTTTACCGAAAACCTTAATCAAAAGGCTAAGGTTAACGAATTAGCAGTAATTGGACGAGAGGGGGAAATTAAGCGGTTAATTTATATCTTGTCACGGATGATGAAAAATAACCCATTGCTAATTGGTTACCCCGGAGTGGGAAAAACCGCCTTAGTCGAAGGATTAGTTCAAAGAATTAAGCAGGAGCGAGTGCCCGATTATTTGCGAGGCAAAACCATTTACCAACTCGATATGATATCCTTAATGGCTGGAACTAGGTTTCAAGGTGAATTGGAAGAAAGGTTAAAAACCATCTTCAGTTTCATGGCTCAGCCAGAAAATAACGCCATTCTTTTTATTGATGAAATTCATTTAATGGTGGGGGCTGGTCGCAGTCAAGGAGCTTTGGATATTTCTAATCTGCTCAAACCGATGCTTTCTCGAGGCGAAATTCAATGCATTGGAGCAACTACCCACGAGGAATATCGTCAATATGTCGAAAAAGATGGAGCCTTAATGCGTCGTTTCAGCAATATACTAGTTCCCGAACCTAGCCGAGAAGATACTTTAAGGATTTTGCACGGAATTCGCAACTATTTTGAGGTTTATTATGAATTAAAAATTTATGATGAAGCTCTCAAGGCAGCAGTAGAATTTTCGCAACGTTATCTTACGAATACTTATTTGCCAGATAAAGCAATTGATTTGTTGGATGAAACTTGTGCCTGGATCAGGAGTGAAATGTGATATGAGCCAGAAAGGATTAGAAAAACTCTGCAAAAACTAAGGGAATTGGAAATAGTCATGCTTGCAGCAGCCAAGGAAGAAAAAAAGGATGAAACAAAACTATTTAAACTTCAAGAAGAGATTAAAAAACAGCGGGCAAAATTAGAGGAATTATTAGAGTTAGATAGGAAAGAAGTAGAAATTATTCAGAAATTAAACCAAGCCAAGAAAGAATTGACTCAAGCCGAAAAAGAGTTGAAGGTTTATCTGCAGAAAAAAATCGCTCTTGACAACAAAGCCGGCGGGCTGATGAATTTGACTATCCCCTCCCTCAAAAAAAAAATTGCGGAATTGGAAGAACAAGCCACCCATAATGAATTAAGGGAAAATTTTATCAACCGGGAGACCATTGCCTTAACCATTGCTCATAAGTATGGTTTATCAGTGAAAAAAATTATGGCTGATGAGCAAGAAAAATTATTTCTTCTTCCGACTATTCTTCAAAAAAGAGTAAAAGGACAAAACCATGCTTTGCGAGTGGTGAGTGATGCTATTTTTCGAGCCCGAGCCGGAGTTCAAGATCCTAATCGACCTTTAGCCTCTTTCCTTTTTGTTGGTCCAACTGGGGTTGGCAAGACAGAAGTAGCTTTGACCATTGCTGAGCAACTTTTCGACCAAAGGAAAAATTTTCTCCGCCTCGACATGACTGAGTTTTCTGAACCACATTCTATTAGTAAACTGATTGGTTCTCCTCCGGGATATATTGGTCATGAAAATGAACCACGACTGGAAATTATTCGTGAAAAAATGCACAGTGTAGTGCTTTTTGATGAGATAGAGAAAGCCAACCTTGAAGTGGTTAATATTCTTTTGCAAATACTAGACAATGGCTTTCTGACTTTAGCTAATGGTCGCGAAGTTAATTTTCGCAATACCATTATCATTTTGACTACTAATTTAGGTTCAGAATTATATTTTGAAAACAAGGAAATGAGTGAAATAAAAGAAGCGTTAGATTTCGAGTTAAAAAACCATTTTCGTCCCGAGTTTCTCAACCGGCTTGATGAGATAGTCTTTTTTAATTCCCTGAGCGAAGGCATTATTCGGGAGATTATTGCTAAAGAATTAAAATTGTTTGTGGAGCGAGTCAGTCGAGAAAAAATGATTGAATTAGATTACAATGATGAAAAAATTTCGGAGCCTTCTTTTGGTAGTAATCCAGCAGCAGAGCAAAAGAACAAAGGCATAATTGAGAAAATTTTCCAAGCCAATCAAGTTCATTTCCGAGGCTATGGAGTCCGACCGATTAAACACTATATCGAAAGGAAAATCGGCACCCTGCTTGCTCGTGGAATTGTTTCTCAATATATTCAGCCAGGAGGCAGGTATCGACTTGATTTAGAAGAGGGAACGGAGGAGATTAAAATAAGTCGGCTTCGTTCATTAGAGCAGAAAAAGGACTTGTTAAAATTAAAAGAAAAATACGAGTAACATGAAAATAACCTTTCAAAAAAAAAAAAAAAAATAGTTGAAATCATTAACGCTGCTGGAAAGAAAACCGGGTTAAAAGAAATTGACCAATGGCTAGATAACCCGCAAACCGACCATCAAAGCGATTGAATTTTCCGAGTAGAGGTGGAACCTTTGGAGTTAACTTTAAATGGAGAAAAGAAAAAAATTGAAGTAATTGTTTTTTTTGTAAATGCCAATACAGGTTTAGAGTTTTATTTAAAGCATGTTTGGTCAGATAACCACCGTAATTTTGAATTACAATGGAATGGAGAAGATGCCGAAGGAAACATTGGTTTTTCTGAAACTCGTCCTAACACCTTAGTTGCTTTTAGTAATTTTCTCTATTTTGATAACCTTGATAACAACCAAAACCAGCAAGCTTTAGAAATTAATTGAGAAAATATTTCTTTAATTGATGGAGGATTAGTTTTCTTTCTAACTTCGCCTCAGTCTATTTCTCTCAATCACCGTAATTATACCTATAACAAAGTTTTTTGGTTTCCTGGTTTTTGTGCTCCAAAAGATTATGAATTTATTAAACAAAGGTTAACCGAAAGGAAAGCCGATAAAAAACCTTTGATTATTAAAACCATTTTAAGTTTTGATGCTTGACTTTCTGTAAAGGATAATAGAAATTTATATATTCTTGAAAAAGGTCAAGGAAGAACTACCGATTTAGTTCATGACTATCAAAAAGAAGTGCCTTTCATTGAAAGTGATATTGCGGGTTGGTTAAAATTACCTTTTCACCAGCGAGAAAAGTTCATAGAGAGATATTGACAAAATGATGAACCAATAGAGAATATGAAAAGAGAAATCAAAAATGCCATTCAAAACCTTGCAAGTAATAACGATAATGAGCCAAAACCCAACCAAAATCATCCTGTTGGTGATAACAAAGTAGGAATGAATAAAGGGTTAAAAATCTTTTTTTGAACTGGGGGAATTATTTTTGGACTACTGTTAATCTGTTTAGTTTTTCAAAAAGTTTTAAAAAAATTAAGCAAAAAATAATTTATATATGAGTAAAAAAACTGAAAATGAATCAGCAAAGCAAAAAGAAGTTAAGTCTAAGAATGAACCGGAAAAAAATAACTCGGAAACTTCCGACTTAAAGGAGCAGCAAAAGGTTGATCAGGTGGAAAATGAAAGCATTGAATCAAAAAAACTTGCAGAAGAAGTTGCCAAACTAAAAAAAGATAAATTGTTGCTTCTAGCAGAAATAGAAAATAAATATAAAGACTTTCAACGGCAAATGAAATATGTATACAAATATGGTAGCAAAATATTTGTCTTGCAAGTCCTTGATTTTTTGGTCGAGTTAGAAGAAAAAGCCTTAAAAACCATGCAAAATGATCTTGAAGAAAATCACGGAAGTGAACCGAAAAGTCGGGAAAAGGAAGAGTTGTTTCAGCAATTAAAGGTGGCAAATAAACAGAATGAACTAGTTGAAAAGTTAAAGGAAGTAACTAAGCAATTAGAGGCAGAAAATAAACAACTGAAAAAAGAACAAACATTATTGGTTAGCAAGTTTAAGGGTCATTTAGTAGGAATTGAAATAATCAAAAACAATCTTAAAAAAAGGTTAGAAGCTGAAGGAGTAAAAGAAATAGAAGTTAAGGTAGGAGAAGAACGGGCAGATAGCAGACATCATGAATTAATAGAAGAAGTAGAAAATAATAATTTAGTAGAAGGAACTATTGTTGAAGTGGTGGAAAGGGGATACTTTTTTCATGAAGAAGTTATTCGAAGAGTTAAAGTAAAAACTGCTAAAAGTTCAAAGAAAAATTAATACAAAAGATAAAATTATAATAATATATGAATGAAAATGTAAGTAATAAAATTATTGGGATTGACCTTGGAACAACTAATTCGTGTGTAGCGATTATGGAGGGAAGAAATTCTCGAGTATTAGAAAATGCTGAAGGTGGACGAACTACTCCTTCGGTGGTTTCTTTTGATAAAGAAAGAAAAACAATTTTGGTAGGAAAAAGTGCTAAAAATAATGTGGCTTTTAATCCTGATGAAACTATTTTCTCCATCAAAAGTAAAATGGGAACTAGTGAAAAAGTTAAGTTAGGTGGTAAGGAAATGAAGCCGGAGCAAGTATCGGCCATAATTTTACGCCATTTAGTGGATTATGCCGAAGACAAGTTGAAAAGTGAATTACATGGAAAAAAGTTGGCACGGGTGGTAATAACTATTCCGGCTCGTTTCAAAGATGCTGCTCGACAAGCAACTAGGGATGCGGGAGAAATTGCCGGTCTAAAAGTTGAAAGAATTATTAACGAACCAACTGCCGCTGCTTTAGCTTATGGTCTTGATAGAACTGAACGAGATCAAAAGGTTCTAGTTTATGATTTAGGAGGAGGAACTTTTGATGTTTCGGTTCTCCAAATCACAAAAGGGGAAGAAGGAGGAACTTTTGAAGTGGTTTCCACCGCGGGTAATGATAAACTAGGGGGTGACAATTTTAATCAGAAAATATTTAACTATGCCTTAGAGGAATTTAAGCGAAAAAATAATATTGATCTGCTTGCAGAGGTTAAAGAAGAGAAAAAAAATGAAACTATACTAAGGTTAAAGGCGGCTAGTGAAGAAGTTAAGGAAAGACTGTCAGGGAATTTGACTGAAAGGTTCTCGGTAGCTTATATCCCCTTGAAAAGCGGCAATTTGGTTAACATAGATATAGAAATTACTCGGGCTAGATTTGAAGAATTAAGTAAAGAATATATGAGAGACACTGCGGTTGAAGTTGACAAAGCTTTAAAGGAGGCTAAGTATGGGGAATTAAAAAAAGAAGATATTGATCAAATAATTCTAGTGGGGGGTTCAACTCGGATGCCAATGGTAGAGAAATTGATGAGAGAAAAATTTGGAGAAAAAAAAATTAATAAATCAGTAAATCCGGATGAAGTGGTAGCCATCGGAGCAGCTATTCAAGGTGGAATTTTGATGGGCGATGTTAAGGACATTTTGCTCTTAGAAGTGGCTCCTCTTTCTTTGGGTATTGAAACTGACAAAGGAGTTAACACTATTCTTATTCCCCGCAACACGACAATTCCTACGACTAAGAAGCAAATTTTTTCTACAGCGGTTGATAATCAACCGAGTGTCCACATTCGGGTTCTACAAGGGGAAAGACCAAGAGCTAAAGACAACAAAGAATTAGGAAAATTCGAGTTAACTGGCATTGCTCCTGCTCCCCGTGGCGTTCCCCAAATTGAGGTGGCTTTTGATATTGATTCTGATGGAATTTTAAAAATCACCGCAACCGATCTTCAATCTAAAAAAGGAGAATCTTTAACCGTAGAAGGAGGTCGTGGATTAAGTAAAACCGAAATCGAAAGAATGGTCGAAGAAGCAGAGAAATTTAAGGAAAAAGATGAAGAATGAAAGGCTAACCAGGAGTTACTTAATCGTGCTCAAACTTATTGCCATACTTTTGGAAAACAGTTAGAAGAATTTAAAAAACATAAAGATTTCAAAGAGGATGATCCTCAATTTCAAGAGTTTAAAAAATTATACAATAATTTAAAAGAGGCTACCAAGTCAGCCGAAGAAGCCAAAGAGGAAAGTGAAAAAAAGGAAAAATTACTGGAAGTGGAAAAACAAGTAAAAAAAATTGATGAATTAATGAAACTTTCCAACGAATTGATGCAAAAAATGCCTAAGGAAGAAAAAAAAGATGATGAAGGTTATGCCAGTGATGGAGAAGAAGGAGTAGTGGACGTTGAGCCTGAAAAAAAAGATGATGACAAATAAGCCATAATTTGTGTTTAGTTTTCGATGAATGAGAAGTATTATGATATATTAGGCGTTTCAAAAGACGCTTCGGAGTCTGAAATTAAGGCAGCTTTCCGGAAGTTAGCTTTCAAATGGCATCCGGATAGAAATCAGCAAAAGAAAAAAGAAGCCGAAGCTAAAATGAAAGAAATCAACGAGGCTTACGAAGTTTTAAGCAATCCAGAAAAACGGCAAAATTATGACCGCTATGGTAGTGCTGAAGGTTTTGCACGGGGTTCGTCGGAGGGAGGATTTGAAAGTGAATTTGGTCGAGGAGAAGGAATTTTTAAGGATATTTTTGAGACTTTCTTTGGTGGGAGGGGAGATTATTCTAGACAAAAGACCCATACCAGAGATAGGACTCGACCCCAAGCAGGGAGTGACATTTTAATCAATATTATTTTAAGTTTCAAGGAGTCAGTGTTAGGAACTGAAAAAAGAGTGAATTTGAAATTGGAAAAGGCTTGTGGTATTTGTCAGCAGACCGGAGCAGCTTCTCGGGCTGATATGGTTGAGTGTTCAAGGTGTCAAGGATGAGGAGTAATTAATACTGTTCAAAAAACCGTTTTGGGAGCAATTCGTACCCAAGTTGAATGTCCGCATTGCCAAGGTGAAGGAAAAATCATTAAAGAAAAATGCAAAAATTGCAAGGGGAAAAAGTTTTTCTCACAAGTAGAGACCATTAAAATTAACATTCCTCGCGGAATTAAACCAGAAAATAAGTTACGCTACCAAGGAATCGGAAATGATGGTTGATATGGTGGAGCAAGAGGAGACATTTATATAGTTATAAAGGTTAAAGAAAATCCTTATTTCCAAAGGAAAGACGATGATATTTATGTCAAATTGCCAATTTCCTTTTTGGATGCAATTTTGGGCGGCATGGTCAAGGTGATTACTTTGGAAACTAGAGTTGAGAAAGGAGTGATAGAGAATTTGAAAGAGATCAAGGTGCCCGCCGGTAGTCAGCACGGTGACTATTTAGTCTTGCGAGGTCAGGGCTGTTATATAGGAATTAATAAAGTTTCACGAGGTGACTTTTACATTCGGTTACAAGTAAAATTACCACTAAAAGAAAAACTCTCTCCCTCCACTGAAAGGATATTACGTGATTTACAAGAAACCAAAAAATGAAACCCTAATCACGAATTTATAGAAAAAAATAAAGATATTGTTGATAAATAATTCTCGCTTCGGAAATAACTATAATATAAAAAATTTAACCCACTTCTATCCAATAAAACTTAAAATAGTAAATATATATAAAAACTTAACACTTTATGAATTATTCATTTATCAAATTTGCCCAAAAAAAACTAATTAAACTTAAGGATGAGTGTGAAAAGTGAAAAGAAAAGGTTTCTCTTAATATTTTCACTTTAACTAGAACTAATCCTTCTGAACAGCAGCGGAAAAAAATGTACAGTGGTTTACTGGAACATACCAATTTTTTAAGTGAGGAGGTAGGGAAGATCTTAGATGGGTTAAAAGTGGTGCGTTTTTCTGAAAGTCAGACTTTTCTTGATGAGGAAAAAAATCACCTTATTCAAGAATGTAAAAAAATAATGGGTGATTTACGGGAAATAAAAGAAGTTATTTCCCAGCAAACCGACAGAAAGACCACGATTATAACCCCTCTACAGAGAAAAATTCCTAAAAAGGATTATTGTTATTTTTGTGATGTAAGTATTATGGGAGATTTTTCCTACAAACTAAAAGCGGAGGAACAAAAAGCGTATGGGGTTGAAATTCCCGAAGGAGCCGGTTTTTGTTCTCAAAAATGTTTATGAAATCATTGTGCTGAGTATGAAAAGAGGGAACAGTTACGTCAAGCCGAAAAAGTAAAAATTAGAGAAAAGGTTGAACGGGATCGAAAAGAGATTAATGAAATTCAGGGACAAATAACTAATTTTACCGAAAGAATAAATAGGTTAAAACGAAAAGAAAAAGAATTAGAATTATTGCCAGAAAGTAACCCAGTTGAGCATCCAAAAAAAGTTGGCTTCTTTCGTAGAATTGGACAAAGTTTAAGACTAGTTAAAAAACCAAATCCTCTTTCTAAACTAGAAAGGGTGAAAAAATTAAAGGAAGAATTAAATATTCAGTTAGAAAACTCTGAGAAGAGACTAAAAAGGTCTTTAATAACTCTCTCGTTAGATGAACAAAAGGAAAAAGAAAGAAAAAGGCTAGAAGAAAGAATTCTCCTGGAAAAAGAAAAAATTACCACTGGCAAAGTTACTTCCACGGAGGAAGAGGAAGAAGAAGTATTTGATGATTAAAATTAATAAAATAAAAATATATAATGACCCGCAAAGCCTTAATTATTAAAGCCCAAAAACCACCAAAATATTCAAGTCGAAAATACATTCGCTGTTGGGTATGTGGTCGTTCACGAGGAAAAGTAGCCGAAAATTTATGTCGGATCAGTTTTCGTGAGAATGTCTATCGAGGTTTATTGCCAGGATGACGAAAAAGTTCTTAGGATTAAATTGAGGACTTGTAAAAATATATAAAATTATATTAGAGATGATAAAGATATGATTAAAAGATAATAAAATAAAACAAAATCAACAATATCAGCAAGTATAATATTAATAATAAATAATATGAACAAAAATTACCAAAAAGATTTATTAGTCAGACAATTGGCGATGGTATTAGAAGCCTTGGAGGATTACATCAGAAAAGGGAATTATTATGCTGACTGAAAGAGTAAAGCACAATTTTATTTGCGGACTGCCTCAGTTTATAAACTTAGTTTGGAAGTAGCCGAGGGAGGTTTCTTTTCTCAATTTTCTATAGCTATCAAATCATTTCTTAATGAAGGAAAAACCTATTTTAACACGGCAATAACTAAAAACCTTCGTGAAGAAATACAAAAAGAATTCTACCGATGAATTGACCATTCTGGAATAACTGCTGAAAATTGTCTAGAAAAGTTAAAATATTACTTAAACGAAATTAATGAAGCATTAGAAAATGGTGATAGTAAACTTTACCAGGCTTATCAAACAGCACTAAAAGAAGAAAAAATAAAAATAAAGGCACTAAAAAAAAGTCCTTTCTTTTATCAAGCATGTAAAGAAGTTGATAAAAAGTTGGGTTATGTTGGTTTGGGACAACTACCAATCAGTGAAGCCAAAAATTATGAGTTAAAAATTGAAGGTGAGGCGGAACGAGGTCAACAAATTTTTCAACACATAAAAAACTCAATAGTTAGTCAACCGGAATGGAATTTTCCTATAAATGGCGAAAATTATACCCGAAAAGTGGAAGAAAAAATTAAGGAGTTGGAGGGGAAAAAAGACCATCCACAACCAAAAGAAGAGTGAAAATGAAAAACAAATTTCGAAAGTTTGGAAGATACTTTATTAATACTCGAACTTTATATTCAAAAATTAAATTGTTATCCGGGCTGAAAAATTAGCGAGTGAACGGAGAAAAACAGAGAAGATTGAAGGAAAAATTGGGAAAATAAGACCGCTGAGCAAACTAAGAACTCGGTTCTGATTAATTTAAAAGGTAATTCACTAGTGTTAAGACAATTTAAAGTTGATGATCCTCATTATTACCCTTACTTGCTTAGTGAGTTAAAAACTCACTTTTCCCAGTGGCAAAAGGAGCGAGAAATCAACCCTAATAATTGCCCTGAGCAGTTAAAAGAAGTTTTATCGATAGTTAATAATAAAGTATTAGAAGGCAATTGAAATTGAAAAATAAATAATAAAAAAGAGCAGGAAAATAGCGAGGGTGAAGAAAATGAAATAATAAAAATTATTGTTAAGTTAAAATTAGAAATTGCTGAATTAAATACAAAATATAAAGTTGCCGATTTAGTTCCTAGCAATTGAGAAGATGAATTAAGGAATACGAAATCTCTCGCCAAAGCCAAATCCTATCAGCAAAAAATTGAAAAAAAACTACAGGAGGAGCAAGCAAAACACCAACCACTTACTACTAATGACAAAAACAAACTTTCTTGACCAGTCAAAGTAGTTATCGGAGCCGCAATAATCGGGTTAGTTCTAGCAACCGTAATTATAATTTACCGAGTAGTTAAAAATAAAAAAATAAAAAATTAATAATATATGACCTTATCCGATCCAGTTGCTAACATGCTAACCGCTATTCGTAATGCTAATATGAGGGGGTATAAAACAGTGGTTTTTCCCTACTCCTCTTTTAAATGAAAAACTTGTCAAAAGTTGGAAGATTGTGGTTTTTTGTCTCAATGCTGAATTGATAAAAAAGAAGAAAAAAAATGAAAAATTAAGGTTGATATCAAGTATAATCATCAAAATAGTCGTATTCACCAAATAAAAAAGATTTCTAAACCTTCGCAACATATTCATTTAAAAGCCAAGGAAATCAAAAAATATTGTCATCATCGTGGTATTTACCTTATCTCTACTTCGCTTTCTGAAACATCCTTGTTAACTCAGCGGGAGGCCTTAGAAAAAAAACAAGGGGGCAAAGTTATTCTTTTCATTAACTAAAAGTTTTAAAATTAATTAAAATATGTCAAAAATCGCGGATCGAATTATTTCTATACCAGAAAAAGTAAAAATTAATTTAGGAAAGGGGGTCATTTCTGCCGAAGGCCCATTAGGGAAAAGTGAAGAAATGTCTCTTCCGGCTGATTTGGAAATTACTAACCAAGAAAATAAGTTAAGCACTAAGTCGGTTAATTCTGCTTTAGCTGGCACTTATAATGCTTTAATTTCTAATCTAATCAAGGGAGTGGTAGAAGGCCATGAAAGTGTGGTTGAAGTAAAGGGAGTGGGATATAAAGTAACTTTAAAGGAAAAAAAATTGGAGTTTTCCTTAGGAAGATCTCACCTTGACTATATAGAAATTCCTCCTAAATTAGAGGTAAAGGTAGAGGCTAATAAGGTAATCATCAGAGGAAAGGATAAGCAAAGAGCCACCAGTTTTGCCGCTGCTATTCGACAACTTCGTCTCCCTAACGTTTACAAAAGAAACAAAGGCATTTATTATTTAGGTGAAGCCGAAACTATTAAAATAAAAGCTAGGAAAGCAACCAACAAGTAAAAATTATAGTTATAATGGCACTTTAAGACATTTAAAAGATAAAGTTTGCCAAGGAGTTCAATAAAAAAAGTTATGAATGATAGGTTTTTTTAGTTGGATAATGAAAAATATGTCACCTCGAAAGAAGTTATCAATAAAAAAACTTTAACCTTATATCATTCGCTTGTTTTTAAAATAATATTATACCCATGGAACCAATTATCATTAAAAGTTCATCAATTTCTATTTCGCCCCAAAAAATGAACCTGGTGGCTGGAATAATCCGCAGAAAAGATTTAGACTATTCTTTAAAAACCTTGGAATTTTTGCCAAAAAAAGGGGGGCGGATACTGCACAAGTTATTACAAGGAGCGGCTAAAAACCTAGAAAAAAGTCAAGAAAATTTAAGTAATTTTTACCTTAGTAAGATTGAAGTAAACCAAGGAAAAACCCAAAAAAGAGCCATTTATCGAGCTAAGGGTCGAACCAATCGGATTAGAAAAAGAAGTAGTTTAATTAATTTATATTTAAGTAAAAAGGAGGTAGTCGCCAAGGCAAAACCGGTAAAACCAAAACCTTAAAATAAATAATATAGAAAATAAGAACATTAAATTAATAAAAATATGGTAAAAAAAATAATCGGTGGCTGTGAAAAGTGCCAACAAGACATTAATTATATTTCCGCTATTAACCGCTGACCAGGGTTAGGCGCTAACACCGAGGGAGGGGCTTGATGTTTCGGTTGTTTTAAAAATATTTCTCATTGTCGAGTTTGTAAAAAATCGGTAGCAGAAGTAGAGTATAATAAGTGTAAACCTGATCCAAGATTGCGTTGAACTGTTAAACCTGCTAATGGATTTGGTCAACATCAAAAGTTTATTTGTTCCCAACATTGCTTGGATAAACATTTGTCTGAGAAAGAGTATAAACGCCAAGCAAGGTTGAGCCAAGGCTGAAAAGAATGCGAAGGATGTGTGGAAAAATATGCCGGAATAATCAAGAAGTATAATTTAAGTCATATTAAACTAAAATTGGTTTCACCCGGACAAAAACTCTGTGGTAATTATAACTATGTAGGGAAAGGAGGTTGCCGAGAAGCACAAGAGATAGGAAAGCCAGCCCGCCAGCGAGCTGAGGTCAAAGCTCAAGATTATTGAAATTCACTTTCCCGAGAGCAAAGACTGCAAGAAATTGAGAGATTAGATAGTGTATTTACCGCCAAATGGTATGGGAAAAATTATACGGCCGAAGAAATTGCGACTTGGGAAAAATGTCCGCCAGATATAGTAGAAGAGTTTAGTCGTCACGAAATGGGCGAAAGTTGAGAAAGAATAAAGAAAAAAAACAATTCACGAACTGCTAAAACTCAAAATCAAGTATTAACTTCCTCTGAGTCAACCACCGGTAACCAGTTGACTAAAAAACAAGTTGAATTACGAAAACTTAAAGAAAAAAAGGGTGATAATTCAGAGGAAATTCGCCAGTTAGAACAAGAAATTGAAAAATTATTGAAGGAGCAAAAAGTCAATTCTGCTGCTGAAACTCCAACTAAAAACAATAAAATAATGACTTACTCAATTATTGGATTTTCATTGTTGACTTTAATCGGTTTGGCCATTATGTTAGTAAAACCGAAGTGAAAAAACCCTAAAATTAAATAATAATGGCACAGAAAGCAAGTCCCTATGCAATCCGGTTAGGTTACAATCAAACTTGAAATACTTTTTTTTTCGCTAAACAAAAAGAAGAACGAATTAATTTATTGAGAAAGGATAAATTGATGCGCGATTACCTTTATTCACTCTTTCCTGATATTTGTCGGTTAAAAACTGAGTATAGCAGGAGTAAAATCACCGTTTATCTTTATATGCCTGAAATTAGTCTGGTGCTTGGGGAAAACAATTCAAAACTAGCAGAAGTAATGAAAGGCATTTATAAGATAGTTGATGATGATAAAATTGCGGTTAAGGTAAATTTAACTGAGGTGAAAAGGATTTACACTAATGCTCAATCAATTGCTAACTTAATTGTTGGACAGTTAAAAAAACGAACTCGTAGCCGCCAAATTATCCGAAACATTGCTAAAATGGTGTCGGCAGAAAGAGAGATAAAAGGTTTAGCAATTAACATCAACGGACTGATTGATGCCTCTGAGATTGCTCAGAAAAAAAAATTTGTCCAAGATCGAATGAAACTTAGCACGATCGATAGTAATATTGAGGGCGGAAGAGCCCAAGCGTTTCTGAGTCGGGGAGTAGTTGGAGTTAAAGTATCAATTTATAAAGGAAGGATTTGACAAAAAAGAAATAAGAATTATGTTAACACCCAAAAAAACTAAATATCGTTATTCTCACATCATAAAGTATGAGGGTCATGCCAAAGGAAATCAAGAAGTTAATTTTGGTGAATATGGTTTACAAGCTCAAGAGGGAACCTACATCAGCAATCGAGCAATTGAAGCGGCACGGAAAGTGATCAGTCCTTTTGTTAAAAAAACCGGCAAAATGTGAATTAGAGTTTTTCCTCAATTAGGAAAAACCAAAAAACCTTTGGAAGTCAGAATGGGTTCTGGTAAGGGTTCAGTGGAAAGCTGGGTCGCAGTAGTCAAAGCCGGAACTGTAATTTTTGAAGTTCAGGGATTACCAAAAGAGTTGGCTTACAAAGTTTTAGCACAAGTTAGTTACAAATTGCCTAAAAATAATGGTGATGTAAAAGTTAAGTATAGAGTTGTCGAAAGAAAAAATCTAAATACTATTCAAAAAAATGACCATGAATAAGGAACAAAAACCAGAAGTTAAAAAAACATTGACATTTGAGGAATTATTAGCCCAATATCGTTCTGCTCTGACAGTTTTACAAATGAAAAGTCGAATGGGACAACTAGTTAAAACCCATCAAATCAAGCAAATCAAGAAAGAAATTGCCCGGTTGCTCGCTAAAAAGCGTTCTTTACTAACTGAAAAAGTTTAAAATATAATTTATAAAGTAATAACAAACGAAATACTATGAACCGAAATGAACAAAAAGGATGGGATATTCTTTTCCTATTGGAAACTTTAGAATATTATATTGAAAAGTTAGGGGTGTATCCTAATTTCAAAAAGAAACAACAACTTCGTAATCGCATTACTCCTGAATTAACCTTACAAAAATGTAGTTTAGCAAACACGGAGGATACTTTTCGCACGCAATTAATATTGTTTTTAGGAGCTGTTTGTGATACAAATAATCCTCCCCGAACTTATGCCGAACTACGCCAAGAAAATCAGGAAGTATTTCAGCAATGGCTTCATAATACTGGAATAACAGTGTCTAATTGTCCGCCTAAATTAAAACATTTTCTATTAGAGATTAAGGAAATACTGGAAAAACAAAGTGATAAAATTTACAACGAAATGAAAGCCTATTTATGAAGAAAAAGGAAAGAATCTGCTGACCCAAA